TGCGTCTCTGCCCAGGGTCATTTCCCATCTGCAAGGGATGAAAGACTGATTGATGGGATCATAGTTTTTCATCACTGTTTACCTGTGTAACTCCCTACTGCAAGAGTGGGACGCTAGTCATGTGATGAAATGCATTATCACCTCATCCGGTGAAATCTCCTGCTGCTTGCTCGGTGTTGTAAAGGCTATACCTGTGTAATTTGCATGTTAGACGGTGTGTATTTCTCATTTCTTCATAACAGAGCTGACAATGCTTTTCATTTAAGTGAGGATAATTCATTACAAAGATCTTATCTATATAAGTTGAGAAGGGGACAGAGGCAAACAAAGAAGGCATTACCATAAATCAGATGAATTTTGTGTCAAATCTGAGCTGACAACCCTTCATTTTTAAGTGCTTCGGGGAGCAGACATGCTGCGGGGAATGTTTGCCTTTCTTGAAAACACTGACAGGTGATTTGTAGCTGGTGGACAAACTGAGGGAGGGAAACAGAAGCTCTGAGCCTGGTGATCTCGAGACATGATTTCTGATCTGAAACAGTAAGAAATCTGGGCACGTCCAGTGAGAAACTGGCATGTTATCGATGAATAGGAACAGCTCAGTCAGTCACAGTACAGGATGTTCCGACTCTAACCACATGCTTAGCCGCCCTGTGAGCTGAGAACGAGCCAGTTCACCCAAGGTTGTTTCATGTTCCACATACCCTCTCCTCCCCCTCCAGCTCTCAGTTTTCTATACTGCAACATCAGAGGCTGATTATTCACGCATCCAGTCTTCTGGAACTCTACGTGCAAAATCACTTGGTTAATCTGTTTTGTTTCCTTGAAGCCCTTATGCAGCTACAGTTTTTCATTTCCCCTCTTGCTGTCTTAAGTTCTGGTCTCCTTTCGCTGTTCTCTCCTCCTATGTGTAAAGTGTTCTCAAAGGAGCACATTGCTCCTTTTCTGGGAGTATCTGGGAGTATTAAATGAAACAGAGTGCTAACATTGCCATCACGCAGAATTTAGTTGCAAAATAAGTACAGGTTTGGGGGACCTTTATTTGTTAATTCTTATCAGTTCACAATGAGTCATACAGCATGAAAACAGACCCTTCAAGTCCAACCAGTCCATGCCAAACATAATCCCAAACTAAACTAGTCCCACCTGCCCGGTCCTGGCCCATATCCCTCCAAACCTTTCCTATTCATGCACTTGTCTTTTAAACATTGCAATTGTGCCCACGTCCATCAATTCCTCAGGAAGTTCATTCCACACATGACCCACCCTCTGTGTAAAAAATTTGCCCCTCATGTCTTTTTGTTGAGTATTGCTCACAAAGGACACATTCTGTTGAAACTTTTCATCTTGCACGCAACAGGACAATTTGCAAGAACACAAAAGTAAAAGAAATACAATATTTACATGTGAGAGGAGAGTGGTAATTGGTTGGCAAGTGGAATCTTACATATAGAGACATTATCAGGGAGAGTAAATCCACAATGATGATTGACAGTTAACTGCCAAGCTTTGTTTATGTTTTAAAGCAGACAAGTTGATTCTGATTGTTCAAAGCATTGCCGTGAGAAATGAACCAGAGAATGGTTATCACCTATTTTATTGAGTTGAAGCAGGCATAGTAGTGTCCATCTTCTGCCTGTCTTCAAAGAACAGGGCTGTGTACATTAAAATATGTATCTTCCTGTACACACAAGTACACCATACTGCGAGTTCGACAGACGTTCCTAAATTGGTTGTTGTTTTATTGATGAGTGCCAGCCTTAGGCTGGGTTCATGCAAAATGTGTTTCCAATAAATTTCCTGAGGGTGGCATGGTGACTCTCAGTGGTTAGCATTGATGCCTGACGGCACCAGAGACCCAGGTTTGATTCCACTCTCGGTTGACTGTCTGTATGGAGTTTGCCCATTCTGACTGTGTCTGCGTGGGGTTTCCTCCGGGTGCTCTGGTGTCCTCCCACAGTCCATAGATGTACAGGTTAGGTGGATTGGCCATGTTAAATTGACAATAGAGTCCAGGGGTGTGCAGGCAAGATGGATTAGCCATGGGAAATGCAGGGTTACAGAGATAAGTTGCTAGTGTGGATCTGGGTGAGATGCTGTTCAGAGGGTCAGTGTGGACATGATGGGCTGAATGGTCTTCTTCCACACTGTGTAGGGAATCTAAAAAAAGTTCAGATTACCCTGGCAAGATAAGTTGTCTCAAATGTTTGAGCTACAGCTGAAGCTAGCTGTTTCACCCTGTCACAATGCAGGAGCAACACGAGTGGTATACAGGATGCTGGCAACAAATGAGCAATGTGATACAGGAATGTCAGTGCTGGTTGTGATGCGCGGTATGAAGGCTGTAAAATATTGATGGATTGTTACAGAAAGCATGCCTCTTCAGCTGTTTGCAACAGGCAAGATTCTGACTGTACCCAATCAGCTGGTACTTGCAAAACCCAAAAATCAGCGTCCAACATTATATGTGATTCCACAATTGGACAGCATTTGCTAAACAGTCCTGAGTGTGTGAAGAATTTCACTGACAACCAAAGTAGGATTGTCACTTGGACTTGCAGGAGTTGCTCTTATTGTAGAGGACGTTACATATATGAATATACAGGGCCCTCTTCTTTACACTGTTATATATGCACATGCAGTGTCTCTGTCAACTCAACAAACTGGGTAACAATCATTCTGTGGTTCATTTGTCTGGCAATGTCTTGACCAATCAGAGTCTGCTTGCCTGGTTTAACATTTAAACAAAGATCGGCAGTTAATTGCCAGTCATCATCTAACTGGTGAATGCTCCAAGGTAATGCCTCACCATTCAGAGTCCATTTGTCATGCAGTTAGTACCCTCCTCTCGTACAGTAAGAAGTTTGTTTTCCCTTTACGTTGACATTCCTTGAGAATTATCCTGACAAATGCAAGTCAAAAAGCTTCATCAAAATGTGCCTTTCATAGCAATACTCAAGTCGTATGCTACCAAATGACAAACTTCATGTTTTAGCTGAAGGAAGTTTGTCTACAGTGTAAGTACCTGTTTGTAAGTTATAAACCAGTTCTTCAGCAAGAATTGTGTCCATCACAGCTTTGATTCACTTAAAGAACATACTTGAGAATCAGGACGTTTGCGATTTCAAATTTAAAAATTCTCTTGTTATAGAATGACATAGGCCATTAACAGGTCTAGTCACAAAAGATATCAGCCAGCATCATGTATATTTATTGCCTCTCCTAGTTTTAAATTAGTTAGGGATTAGAAGAAATCTTATTACCAAGAATGCATACCAAGTTCCTTTTACATAAAGCAAACTTTTTGATATACAAAAGACTTAAAGTGAGCATTAATGATTTAGTAATCTATTTTGTACTATGTATGTTATGTACTTTTGTTTGCTGCATGCTTCCTCCCAAATTATCTTGGAAGAATTATCAGTCTTCATGGTAGAACAAACTTCTCTAGGGACCACCCTTAAGTATCCCACAGTCCTGTGGAGAATTTTCCACAGTTCTGGTTATTCTCGGGTAAAACCTTTGTATACGGTCCCTTGACTTTGGAGATTTCAGACCCTTGTTAGACAATTCCGATACTTCCTGATTACTTTCTTTTGAATGATGATGTGGAGGTGCCACTGTTGGACAAGGTCAAAAGTCACACGACACCAGGTTATTGTCCAACAGGTTTATTTTGAAATCACAAGCTTTTGAGATGCTGCTCCTTCATCAGGTGACTTCACCTGGTGTCGTGTGACTTCTGCTTTAGAAGTGCGACACTGTGTGGCTGACTGTAAATTCTCCCACTAGTTGCAAATTAGGCAATCTTAAACTTCACAAGATTCACTTTGAGTTTAAGCTACAGCAATCATCCACACAATGATGAGGTTTGTATCCTACTCTGCTGATTGAGCAGATGTGTTGAGCTGTCTTTTGCCTAACTTCTTCCAGTGAGCTTCAAGTCACATGAGGTCCATACTGAAGTTAAAAACCTCTTCCACTGAACATCTCAGATTCACAGGAATGTTTCAGTGCAGCAGGAAACCGTTCGGCCCATTGTGCACACGCTGGCTTGTTTCATTGAGCATTTCACATAATACTCATTCTTCTGCAGCCTTCCCACAATCTTGCACTGTGTCTAGATTCAAGTAACAGTCCCATTCCTTTTTGAATGCCTCAATTGAAGCTGAACCTCTCAGGCAATGTCTTCCGCCCTGTTAAAAATATCTTCCTCATATCACTTTTTTGTTTCTTTTATCAAATACTTTAAATCTGTGCTCCCTTGTTCTCAATCCTTTTATGATTTGGAACTATTTCTCCTTACCTACTCTGTCACAATTTTGACTTCTGACTTTATTAAAAATACATAGAATCCCTACATTGTGGAAACAGGCTATTTGGCCCATTGAGTCCACACTGACCCTCCAAAGACTGCCCCATCCACACCCATCCCACTACCCTAACCCTGCATTTCCCATGGCTAACCCACCTAGCCTACACATCTTTGGACACTATCGGCTATTTAGCATGGCTGATCGACCCATCCAGCACATCCTTGGACTGTGGGAGGAAACCAGAGCACCCAGAGGAAACACACGCAGACACAGAGCGGAATGTGAAAACTCCACACAGACAGTTGCTCAAGGGTGGAATTGAACCCAGGTCCCTGGCGCTGTGAGGCAGCAGTGCTAACCACTGAATAACCTTCCAAAACTGCCTTTAGCTTTCAGGTGTCCTGGCAATCTGTAAAGTCCAGCATTTTAATTATGTTTCCTTTACAATAATACTCTATCCATTATCTCTATAATGTTACAAACCACCAACTATCAGGACCATCTACAGGCTGTGAGTTCTGAAATATTAAACTTGCTGTCAGCTTAGTGGATGATTTGACTCAACAAGTGTAGTAAAGGTGACGCTACATGATGGAAAATGATTTCATTTTGAAACTTCAGCAGTTAGTTGAACTCATAACTCGAGCAGTGTTTGATAACACTCGTGTCCCTTGCTTGTTTCAGTTCTTTTAATACAGAGTCTTGGAACAACAGTTGCTCTCCCTCAGTTCTGATGACCATTGCCAAAAGCAGATCATTCTCAGCCTCCTATGCTGTTGCCACAAATAATCACGTAAACGCTAAAAGGCAATTGCGGCAAGGTAAAAAGAAACTATTTATTTTTATTCTCTTAGTATATATTTTTAGAATTCAGTTCAAGTGCTGTATTCCCCAGTGAGATGAATTAGTTTCTCTCAATTAATGTAGGAGAAGTGGTGGCATTGTGGTAATGTCATTGCTGTCATCGTTGAAAGATACAGGCCAGTGCTTTGGGGTGATGAGTTTGGATACCATTAATGTGGCTGGTGGAATTTGAATTCCATGAATAAATCTGGAATTGAAATCTGGTCTTCTTAATGGCCATTGGTCCACCTGCTGCGTTACTGCCCTCTAGGGAAGAAAATGCACCAATCTAAACCTTTTGTTTGTTTGTTCATGGGATGCGCTAGCTAGGCCAGCGTTACTTGTCCATCCCAAATTGCCAAGAGGGCAGTTAAGAGTCAACCATGTTGCTGTGAGCCTGGAGTCACATGTAAGCTAAACCAGTTAAGAATAGCAAATGCCTTCCCGAAAGGGCTTTAGTGAATGAGATGGGTTTTTCTGACAATCGACAATGGATTCATGGTCATCATTTGACTCTTCATTCCAGATTTTTATTTTTCTTTTATTGAATTTACATTCCACCATCTATTGTGTCAGGATTCAAACAACCGCAGAACAACGCTGGGTCACTGAATTAACAGTCCAGCGATAATACCACTAGCCCATCCCCCCCACCACCCCCCACCCTTACTTAGTTGACTACATAACAATATAGTTGACAATTTCCTGTCATGTGAAACGGCCTTACAAGCCATTCAGTTCAAGGACACTTGGGGAAGCGGTGGCCTGGTAGTAATGTTGTTGGCCTAGTAACCAGAACTCCAGGCTGTTTTCATGGGGACATAGGATCGAATCTAAATTTGAAATGAATTTTAAAAAATGCTGGAATTGAAAGCTAATTTAACAGCAACTGTGAAACCATTATCAACTGTTGATCAAACACGTCTAGTTCACTAATGTCCTTTAGGGAAGGAAATCTGTCATCCTTACATTGTCTTACCTATAAGTGACTCCACAGCAATGTGGTTGACTCTTACCTGCCCTCTGGGCAAATAGGGATGGGTGATCTATGCCGGTCTGGCCAGTGAGGCCCACATCCCGAGGTTGAATTTGTGAAAATTGGGATGGGCAACCAATGTTGGCCTTGCCAGTGATGCCCAGATCCCGTTAGCAACTGAAAAGAAAACGGTCTGTTCCTTTCGGTAACTTGAAAATTTTGATACAATTACCGTAAAATCTTCTAACCCCTTGTATTAAAAGTTGGTATAACTATTGTTGCCTCGGTTAGTTGTAATTCTTGCTGCTGGTACGGAATTATCTGACCGGGATGCTCTTTTGTTAGGTTACTCTTCAAACATCACACCTCTCAACTCTCCGTGCCATTCACCGATCCAGGGGACTCCAGCCGGTAGTCCCACGAGCAAAACCTCAGCTGTTGAATTTCCAGACACAGCAGATATCCTGACTAAGCCAGGCCGGAACCCACATAAGCCCTTAACGTACACGCAGAGTGCACCAGATGTCACAGGGCAATACAGGAGTAGCTGCATGGTGTGTAGCAGGTAAGGTGTTTGGAATTATTTTTGCTGTCTTCTGTTACATTTAATTTGCTGATCTCTTTGGAGATGGACATACACTTTTAGGGACGGTGGGGTAGGTTTTGTCCGTGTTTGACAGTGTAAAAATGGGCAGTGGCAAACCAACAGCCCCCTCAGTAAAAATCATTAGCATTATTGAGAAAAGAGACTCACTATTGAAGCTCTCTTTATCTTGTACTCATCTTGACAGACGCCAGACTATCACATTTCAAAAGGAGTGAGATTTATACTGCCTGAGGAAAGGGTGCTGATCAGTTCACAAGTTGACTTTGTTTGGCCAAGGTACTACCATGAAGGATAACGCCCTAGGGGAGGTGATAGGCCTAGTGGCATTATCGCTGGGCTATTAGAGCAGAAACCTAGGTAACGTTCTGGAGAGATAGTAGGAACTGCAGATGCTGGAGAATCCGAGACAACAAGGTGCAGGGCTGGATGAACACAGCAGGCCAAGCAGCATCATAGGAGCAGAGAGGCTGACGTTTCGGGCCTAGACCCTTCATCAGAAAAGGGGGAGGGGAAGGGGGTTTTGAAATAAATAGGGAGAGAGTGGGAGGCGGATAGAAGAGGGATAGAGGAGAGGATAGGTGGAGAGGAAACAAACAGGTCGAAGAGGCGGGGATGGGGCCAGGAAAGGTGAGTGTAGGTAGGGAGTTAGGAAGGGGATAGGTCAGTCCAGGGAGGACGGACAGGTCAAGGGGGCGGGATGAGGTTGGTCGGTAGGAGATGGAGGTGCGGCTTGAGGTGGGAGGAGGGGATAGGTGGGAGGAAGAACAGGTTAGGGAGGCAGGGACGAGTTGGACTGGTTTTGGGATGCGGTGGGGGGAGGGGAGATTTTGAAACTTGTGAAATCCACATTGATACCATTGGGCTGCAGGGTTCCCAAGCGGAATATGAGTTGCTGTTCCTGCAACCTTCGGGTG